GCAGAGGAGCGGGAAAGCTTTAGAGTGACAAAAGAGGGGGCTTCAAGTGTTGTCCACGTTGGAGGCCATAGAAGTGGATCCTTGTGTGATTGGTTAGGGTGTGTTTTTACCTTCCTTGATTGGGCCTAAAAGGAAATGGGAACAGTAACTAGAGAAGCTGTCATTTATTAATCAAGTCCTGTCTTTGGGGGCCAGTTGTGATAAGGGTTATTGTTAAAGACAGTGTGGTCTGACTTCTTACAAGTGTGACTCGCAAATAACAGATTGGCTTCCTGGGCTAGTTATTGTAGATAATGTGTTCGTTTCTTGAGCTCTGTGGGTCAGAGTTCTGTTTTTTATGTGGTCTGGCCGTTGTCCATTTGCATATTCATTCTTTCCGTTGAGAAGAAGGGAATTCAGACATGGACTCAGGCAAGGCAGGAGAGTAGGCCCCTGGCCACATTCATAGCCCTGCGGGGTGCTGTCGTCATGAAATCTATGTGAACATGTGAAACTCCAGGATCTTTGGAACTTCTTCAAGTTTCATCCAAAGGGAATGGACTCTTGGCTTTAGGATTTGGGGGGAATCTATGTTCCCCTGACATATAAAATAACTAGAGAAAGTGAGTTTTCTTTCCTTCTTCCTTTCTCCCTTTCTGTCTTTAAAGATTTCCCATGAAGCCTATTCAGTCATTCTCTCCTCAATCATAGATGGGAAGAAAATAATGTTCTCTCTTAAGAAAACACAGTCAGATATTTTGTTTGAAAGAAGGGTTATTCAGCAGAACTGAGTCCCAAAATAATAGTAAAATAAAATAAAAAACTGAGCCTGATGGGTGTGTCAAGGGCAAGCTGAGAATTACATGGTTCAGCTGGAAAACATATACCTTGAAACATCCCTTCCTTTTTAACTAATGGAAATAATATCTGTAAGTGGGCTCAGAAAAAGACCTTTCCGAGCATTACTGTTTATGTAGCTGTTCTCCTGCCTGTGGAGCATAACTGCACCCCGTAGAGTTCTTGCACGGCAGTTGGGTAATGAGGTTCAGTTGTCTGGCTCAGCCTGCCTGGATGTAGGGCACTGTCACCCCTGCCCTTGACCTCCTCACATTCATGCTTGTTTCTTGTTTTTTTAAATTCAAAGTTATTTTTATTGGGTGCATTTTTAAAAATTTCAGATTAATATGAGAATACAAATGATTAGGTTACGATGTTTGTATTTGTTAGGTAAAGTCCCTGTGGTAGTTGTGTCCTGCACCCGGGAGGTGTGCCACATACACTTACATTGTGCCCATTAGGGGAGAGCACACCAATCCTCCTCCCCCCTTCCCTCTCCCCACTCCCCCAACTTGTGTTTTTCTCTTGGGTGGGCATGTATTTCTTTGTCTACTGGCCTCATATTAGTATTGAGGACACTGGATACTTGCTTTTCCATATTTATAAAACTTTACTAAGAAGAATATGTTTCAACTCCATCCAGGTTCATACAAAAGATACAAATAAAGTCTTTATCTTTTGAAGGCTGAATAGTATTCCATGGTATACATATACCACAGTTTGTAATTCATTCATGGGTTTACAAACACTTAGGTTGTTTCTACATCTTGGCAATTATAAAATGAGCTCTGATAAACAGTCTAGTGCAAATGTCCTCATGCTGGCTTCTTTATTTTCTCTCTGTTGTTCTGGACTAAAGCCTGGGAAGTTAAAAGAGCTAATGAACAAATGCCGGGTTTACCCAGTTAGGGGTGATGAGAGGGATAAGGAAGAGCAGGAGAATAACATTATTGAGGCCATGGGTGTGCAGGGTGATTTATCTTCTCTCAAAGTACTTTTGTGCTCATAATTTTATTTTCTTCTCACGACCTACTTATAAGTTAGACAGGATGAATACTATTATTCCCATTTTTCAGATTTGAAAATGGAAACTAATGGGTTGCTAATCCAGAGTCACCCAGCTGGTGGGAATCACAGAACTGAAAAGGAGGCAAGAGGTCATCCTCACTAAGCCTCTTACTTTAGAGATGAGAAAAGTTGGAACCAAGAGCTCCCCTAGCCAGGTCACCAGAGAGGTCAACTCAGGTTGTGAGAACAGAAAGTTGTGGGTATAAAAGTGACTGTCATTCTGAAACTGCCTACTGTAGCAACACAGCCAGCCTTAAAAATTAGCCCTGATTTCTTGCCTGCTTCTTTTTCCACTAGGAAATGATTCAATTAAAGAGATCTTTTCCTAATAAGTTGAAAAAATCTTTACTTAGTGGGCTTGCTATTTTTTTGTTTATAAATAGGCTTTTTTAAAAAAAAAAAAAAAAGATAGAGTATCCCTCTGTGGCCCTGGGTAGAGTACGGTGGCATCATTGCTCACAGCAACCTCAAACTCTGGGGCTCAAGAGATCCTCTTGTCTCAGCCTCCCAAGTAGCTGGAACTATAGGCATGCACCACAATGCCTGGATAGTTTTTTTCTGTTTTTAATAGAGATAGGGTCTCTCTCTTGTCTTGACCTCCTGAGCTCAAGCAATCCACTGCCTCGGCCTCCCAGAGTGCTAGGATCACAGGTGTAAGCCACCAAGCCAGACATATAAGTGATGCTTTTTGGAGTAAGAGCAGAGCTGAGGAGCTGCTGTAACTAGAGACTACCTGTTATGCTGAATGGTTCTCCATGCCTCACACACTATATGCTCTAATGACATGTACCTTTAAGGTATGTGAATAAAGTCTTAAACATGTAAAGTTAGGATCTCATTTATATACTTTTGAAGTTGGGGAGGGAAGGGGGGAGGATAGGTGGAGGGAGGGTGATTGGTGGAACCACAGCTATGGTCCATCATACAAGGGTACATGTGAATCTTTCTAAATAACAATAACTAAGATAATGCCACAGAGGCTATGTTAACCAGTTTGGTGAAAATATTTCAAATTGTATATAAAACCAACTCACTGTACCCCGTGATTGCATTAATGTACACAGCTATGATTTAATAAAAAATAAAAATGTAGTAGTATGACTTGTGGGTATCACAAAGCTTAATGCGCTGAGAGAAGAACATTTGAAAGAGAAGAGTTTGGAAACCTTCTCTTAGTTTCAGGTAACTTGCCTCTGATTGCCTAGGATAAAACTGAAGCGATTGATTCACTAAGCACCTTTCCAGACCTTTTTTTTTTCCTTCTTACCTCACCAATGATGATTCCCATATGATCCAGACAGGATGGGAAATTTGGTAATTACTCAGCTAATGTGATCAAGGTTGACAAGCAGCTAATTAATCCTGCCTCCTCTTCCTCCAGTTTAGGTATTAAATTAGTTGATTTAGCCTAAAGGAAACATGGGTCAAAATGGCAGCATAATTCACTATGTTGCCAATATATTGCCATTATATTTGTATGTACACTTATGTACTCTTTCTATAGCGTGTGTGTGTATATATATATGTGTGTGTGTAAGTTTATTATATATTGCCCTTACATTTTTATATACAGATGTATACACATACACATATACAAATGTGTATATATATTTTCCTATAACTTACACATATAGCAAACATTAGAAATAGAAATGAAGCTAAAATTGGTTTTCTAAACTTAGCGAGGTGATTCTTTTTTTATTTCCTGTGGCCTAATTATTTTGTTTCTATAGCATTTTATATTTATAGTAATGGTTAGAATTAAAATAGGGTGACACTCTTTCTCTGAGGTGCTCAAGGAAGAACAGCCCGTCAATAACATCTCTAAGGATGTGTTTATTGAGAGTGACCTTGGACAACTCGCTTAGCTTCTCAGATCCTCAGTTTTTCCATTGATAAAAAGGGGACACATAAGTACCTATCGCAACGTCTGGCACACAGATGGCACTCAATATGCGTCCAACCCTGCCCCTTACTGATTTAGCTACCCTGACACCGTCCTTTCTGGTAAAAAAGAAATAAGCATCATCAGCCTCATAGTAATTAAAACTTAAATACCGAACACAAATCAGTTAAATGAGACAGAAAAATCAATGTTATCAGGTATGGTAGCTGAGTCAATTACTGCAACCATTAAAGAGAATAAAAACCTGGTGTATTACAGTAAGCCTGGAGTTTAATGTAAATTTGTTACAGGGATATTATGGTAGAATGAATAAGAACTTCAGTCCTGGCCTCAGAAACATCTGGAACCCCATCCTGGCTTCCCTGTTACTTAGGGACCTTACATAAACACCTTCTCTGACCGTCAGTTTTCTCATATATAAAATTCAAATAATAACACCTACCTCACAAGGATCAAATGGTTTAACAATTGTCACGTGCTTAGCAAAGCACCTGGCACATGATAAGGGTTCAATAAATGATAGCTGTTGTTGCCGTGACTTCAGAAATGCCCTTCCTCGAGGAGTGCGTGATCATTTCTTACAATGTACATCCCCTAACATAATCACAGCATAATCAAGTTGGGTCCAATCCAGGGCACCAAGCCTGTGTCTCCTCTGTCCCCAGGGATGGTGAACTTCAGCGAAGTGTCTGGATACCCTGTGCTGCAGCACTGGAAGGTCCGCTCTGTGATGTACCACCTCAAACTCAATCAGGTTGCCGTCTCTCAGGGTGAGCACCATCCTCCCCCCTCCCTAGGGATGAGGTTCCTTCCCAAGGGGACAGGTCCCATCGTTAAAGGTGCAGCCTAAAATGTAACTGCCCATACACTCAGATTCAGCTTGAAGGGCAAATGGCTAGAAAGCGATCCCTTCCCAAGCACGGGTTCCATTGCAAGTTTTATCTTGGCCTCCAGAAGAGATGGAAGGGGCACGGCTGGAACTAAGGAAAGTATCGTTTTCCCCGGGGGCTGTCCAGTGTGTGGAGAGGATATGCAGAAGCAGACATTTCGCAAACTGGCAGAATAAAACATTCTACGTGCAAAGTACATAATTTAGAGATTCCATGCAAGGAAATAAGGGAAAGAGAGCAAGGAGGGGAAAAAGTAGAAAACAGCTTACGGCTTCCAAAGAGCAAGTGAGTGAAACAGAGATTGAGAGAGAAAGATTGAAAGAAATACTTACACCTGTATCTATGGCTAGTAAGTTAAGGAATAGTAAATTCAAAACTTATTAGGGTCTTAAGGTCGGCAAAAGGGTGATGGAGCCTTGGGGCCAACAGGAGGAAGATGAATACCACGGGGCAAACAGAAGGTCACAGAGAGATGTCAGACAAATACTCACAAAAGGTAAAGCCTCATCCATAGAAAAAGACAATATGTCAAGAGTATAGAACATTTTCATAAGGCACAAAGGGATTCTGAGCTTTATCTTTCTTAATATGAAAGAGTTCTTGGCAAGAAAGTGTTGGGATGGGGACTCTGCTGAAGGAAACTGCCGGTGCAGACCAGTGGAAGGAACTAAGCTAGGCTTTGTTGTAGGGAAATGCGAGAGTTGCAGCTTTATCTTGCTCACATACTCAGTTTGCACCCAGCACGGATGCCGTGCATGTCAGAGATGGACATTTGGGCATCTCCACTGCCACATGCCTTTCAAAGTCACCAAATCGTGCTGTGGACATCAGCACCAGATTCCACCTTACCCTGCAAGGACACAGGTGTGGGGAAAGGAGAACTGTATAACAGTGGCCAGATCCAGAAGCTACTGGACTTGGAAAATTTATTAGAGGCTGATGTCTTCTTTCCTCCTTTTGTCACTTCCCAGCCCTTTTATTTTTCATGTTCTGAAATAAAATATAAGCAGCGTATTAGTGGCTTTTCTTACCTTTCTTCTTTCATTGTCTTCCCATTGCTCATTTCTATGCATAAAGGCAATATTCTGCAATTGCCTTGTTTGGTCACGGTTAGAATACATTCTCTGTTGTGACCTTGGACGTGCATGTACGCCCATGTACGCACAAAAGAAGTTTCATGAAGCATTGCTGAATCCTCTGATGTGAAATGTTTTCTGCTGGTATTTGTGTTTCTATTTTAGACTATGCTATTTTTTCCCTCGATGCTATTATTTGGACTCACTAAATTGATTTAATGTCATAACCTATGCTTAAAAACAAAAACACTGACCTAGGGGAGCAGTAGAGCAATGGCAATGGTCTGCTTAACTTGCACAAGAGTTAACAACACACCCAACTGGCTTCAGAGATATTTACTTAGGAACTGAAATGCCTGATGTAGCTACTTGGAAGCATCCAACTAATAGCTGTAGCCATCTCTCCAACATCCCTTTGGGCCAGAATTCCTAGGAATCTGTATAACCAAATCATGAGTCCTGACTCTTACTCCTGGGGGATGTTTCTTCATAGCACTCAGCAATGCTCTCCACTCGCTGGACGGGGCTACGACTCGTGCAGATTTCGTGGCTCTGTTGGACCAGTTTGGCAACCATTACATCCAGGAAGCTATCTATGGCTTCGAGGAGTCCTGTTCCATCTGGTACCCGAACAAGCAGGTCCAGCGGCGACTCTGGCTGGAATATGAAGACATCAGTAAAGGTGAGTGGAGCACTCATCAGCAAACTCTGCACCCCACGCCAGAGGATCAATCCATAGGGTCAAAACTTAGGGAGTCTCTGGAGACAGAATTAATTCAGATTTTCCCCTCACTGTTCTTTGCCCATCCTTAAAATTTCTGAGGTTTGTCAGCTAAACCTAAGTCTCAAAATGAAGGTGTATGGGGGAATTTTAGATGCAAGATGACAGAGTCAAAACTGTATGATTTCTGTATTAATCACCCAGAGGACATAGAGAGGGTCCTCCAGAGATTCTACTACCTCGTGAGGGCAAAGTAGAGAATTGTTCTTAGGGAGCAGGAAGGAAGGAAGAGCATCCACCAGTGTCCCCCACCCCCACCTCCTTCCTGCACCAGCCCCACCCTGCACTGCCTGGTGTCCCTCTTTGGAAGCTAAGTATACAGTAAACCCCTACTCACTCCATCCTACCCCATGTGTTATTCTCATGTTTCTTGCTATTTGTGTTATGAGGAAATCTCCATTGGCCCAAGTGTTCTGTAGGTCGGGACAACAGGCTCATAAATAAAAATCCTGTCTGCTGTCTTGACAGCAAGTTAGCATTTCAATCCAAGTAAGTATAGGAAATTGGAATTCTTCAAACCATCTCAATCGGCCTTCTGGTATTGTGGGAGTACTGGCCAGCGTATTTGTAGTCTGGTCAACCAAGATGCTTTAGAATTGCCATTCATAGAATTTCTTCTGAGCTTATTCACATGACATTCAGATGAGGCCAGACTGTGGATATGGGACTTGTGAAATGGCAAGTGAGGAATGAGCACTGTGGAATCTCAAGAAATAAGGCCTCTTAAGACTCAGTGACCCAAGAAGGGTCCTTCTGAGACAAGGGGCCTCTGCTGTCAGCAGGGCTGCCTTGGGGGCAAATGTGACCTTGTGGCTGAGGTGCTCTTGGCTCTCTGAAGCTCCATACACATTCCTTTTCTGCCTCACTCAAGAGGTAGGAGAGCCATAATAGCCTCTGGGGCTGAACACATTCTCTTGAAGAAGCAAGAGGTATGTGTCTGGGCCAGAGATGCTGCAGTCATCCCCCCACATCCTGATTCTTCAGAGCTCAAAGACACAACCATGGGCTTCTAGTATCTCTCCAGACTAAGGATCTTAAACATTGTTCTGATTCCAGTTTGCCAAGAGAGCAGTGGAATGTCAGCAAATGTAGATTATAGCAGTTCCAGCTGGCAAAGGGTTCTCATGTGTCTATGCCAGCGCCTGGGGACTGAACCAGAGGGCTGAATCCTCTCCTATTTCTGTTTGCCAGTGGCTCGAGCATTGCCAGGGTCTGTGATTTGTAGGAGAGGAGAGTCTGATCTTATTCAGAGCGCCTAGTTTTCTATCCTTTGCTTGTGTCTCAAATGTCACAATGTCCTTAAGGCTAAACTCTGAGCCCAGGAGGGAACTATATCTGCACCTTAACCTTTTTCTCTACCCACCTTCATCTCAAGCCTCTCTTGATGCCCAGGAGCTGGTTTTACCACAGCCCAACTATTGACTTTAGTTCTTTGTAATATGATTTATAGAAATCCTGGCTTGTAGTGGAGTTTAAAAGGTATTTAAACATTTTAGTATGTCTGCTTCCATCTCTGTCAGCTGTCCAATTCCACCACCCATGCCTTGCCTCTAAGTTGTAGGGTTTTTATATTTCGTTCTTTACTCTGGCTCTTGCTTTAGATATTTTTCTCATCTCTAGCCCTCATTTCCTTTCATTCCCCAACCCTGCATGGAAACATGTTACTGATTAAGAATGATAAGTCCATAAGACAAAGGCGGATACTCTTCTATTCTGCACTCTGAGAGGATCAATAGAAAAAGACTTTATGCTGTGGGTGACAAGGTTGCTGAGAGGGCTATTCCTTCCAAGATACACAAGTGACACTCTTTTTGGACTTGAGACCTTTGTTTCTATGTTATTGCCTACTCTAATTTTATAACTTTTATAGTGAAAAAGATTTCTTTGTTTTTTACTTCTGGGCCTATGAATAGAGACTAAATTGTTTATGGATTGAAGGGGAAATAAAAATTTATCAGGGGGAAATGAAATAGAAAGATCACAGGACTTGATGGTTGGAAATCTAGAGCCAGGCAGGTGATGCTGCTTTAGTCAATTACTTACCTGGACCTCATCTGCAATGCCCTCTGGGGTCCCCCTGCTGTGATGGCTTATGGATCCATATGAATTCTACTTTACATGGAGAAGTGTATGCATGTTACTCATTTGGGTAAAGAGTCTCCTTTCTATAAAATCACAAAATGCTCAAGAGTATGTCCCATGCCTTGTTCGACTTTAAATTCCAAGAATTTAACACAATACCAAGCACATGGTAACTTCTCACCATTTGTTTGTTGTTGCCATTATTTCCAGTGATAGTGGTGGTGGTGGTGATGGCAGTAATGGTGGGAAGCCCTCCTGATGTGATGACTTCCATTGGGTTTTACTGTAGACATGTAACCTGTTTAGTTACACCTGACTGATCAAAATTCAGAGGTGGTTATTTGGGGCCAGGTCTTCAGAAGGAAGCCTTTCATTCAATACTTCTTTGTCATACTTCACCCATATGGTTTGGCCTTACCAGCAGGCAGGATCACCTCTCTCTAAATAAGTCTGATGAAAGCCAATGAAAAATACACTTCTGTATTACACTTAAGTAATATTAGTGTACTATGATACACTAATCACTTAAGATTAGTCTATCCCCAATTTTTTTTTTTTTGTAAGAAGTTGAAGACTATCAGAAAGGAAATTCTCCAACCTCCCATGTCTAAACTTATTTCTACCTTCTCCCATGACCCTCGGCCTTCAGAAAATGTCATGAGGCCCCTCTTCTGCATGCTGACTTCTCTGCCTGCACACTGGCTCCCACTACTCTGCTTCGGCTGAGACCTCACTCATTCATTAATCCTCTCTTGTCTAATCCTTATGATCTCTTCAGCTACTGAATTCTCTCTCCCCCAACCTCATATCTTCTAGAAAATAATCTTTTTATAAACACATGACCCTTTCCCCCCACTGTTTATTTGTAATGCATTACCACTAAATTACCTAAAAGTAATTTCCACATCTTTTCTCTCCTTTCTCGGCTGAATTTCACTCTTCACATTATTGCTTTCAAATACTTCGCTCCACGGAAATAACACTGGAGAAGGAAAGCAGGGCCTTCTTACTCAGAGGTTCCCCAGTGCCCATCCTGTGACCATTCCATCTGTCTCAGTGGAAAAATGCTTCCTTCCTGACCAGGGCCACCTTCCTGAAAATTCTCTCTTCCCTGTTTCTCCCAATGCTGATCTCTCCAGATTCTCTTTATAAATCTTTGGCCTTTATTTCTCATTCATGACCATACTCCTCTAAAGAAATGATTGACATTTTCATCATTTTCATGGTTTTTCTCATAGTACATCTCTCTTCTTCGCAACTGCTCGGTGCTTCCCTTCTATATCTATCTCAGCCTCCCCCTCGAATTCTGTCCGTTTCCCTGGGTTCAAACCCTCCTTGGTTCTTGAGTATTTAGCATCCCTCCACCCCGGGTGTTCCACAGGTCCTCAGTGATCAGCCTCTCTTTTCTCTTCCTCCTGTGCTCTCCTTTGGGGTCTGTGTGTGAGCTCCCCTGTGCCCATGACTGTGTAATGTGTGTGAGCCCCCTATGCACCTCACTGTGGTCCGTGCATGAGCTCCCCTGCACTTCCCTGTGGTCCATGTGTGAGCTCCCCTGTACCCTTCAGTGTGGTTTGTGTGTGAGCTCCCCTGTGCCCTTCACTGTGGTCC